GGGGGCGGTGCCGGTGCCGGGGGGCTCTGCGGCGCTGCCGCTCCCGAACCCGACGGCGCACAAAGGGCACCCCCCCACACCCCGAACCTACCCCGCCGCCGCAAAAACGCACCCCAAGCGCGGCCCCCTCCGCCGGCGCTCAGGTGGGGCTGGAAGCACTACTTGAAGTATAAAATTATCTTGGTCTTTTAAAAATAGCTTAAACTGCTTTAAAAAAGAAAAAAAAAGGGGAAAAAAAAAAAGGAAAAAAAAAAAGCCAACCGAAAAAACCTCGGGGGGGAGTCGTGGGGGGGGTCCTGAGAACATCTTATAAACCGGATTGCACTGAGAGGAGGAAAAAAAAAAGCAAAAAAGATACAAAATATACAAGCAAAAGGCAACAATTCCCCGGTCTCCAGCAGTCGCCCACCCTCCCTTCCCTTCTCTCCTGCTGGCCATCTGCCTTGGGTTCTCCTTTGTGTCTGATCTCTTACTACTGAGCCGAGCGCAGGCGGAGGGTGCACCACACACAGGGACTATGCCCAGCTCGCTTTTTGCAGACATGGAGAGGAACGGGAGCGGCGGCGGCGGCGGCGGTGGTGGTGGTGGTGGCGGGGGAGAGACCCTGGATGACCAAAGAGCCCTTCAGATCGCCCTGGATCAGCTCTCCCTGCTGGGGCTGGACAACGACGAGACTGGCTCCATTTACGACAACGAGCCTCGGAAAAAGAGCGTGAACATGACTGAATGCGTCCCGGTGCCCAGCTCGGAACATGTCGCTGAGATAGTGGGGAGACAAGGTGGGTGCCTGCATGCGAGGGGGTGTGGGGGCGCGGGTCTCCCCTCCGCGCTGCCGGGCGGGCGGCTCAGATGCGACACTGGCCATTCCCAGGAACGCTGCAGCCGTGCGGTGGTGGCCAGTGCCGGCTTCCCCCAGACAAAGAAAGTGCAGTAGCAGACGTGATGTTTCCGAGGAGTGTTATGCATCAGTTTCGAGATGCACTTTCAGCTGCCGGGTTGGGGAAAAAATCAGGAAAATAATAAAAATCCGTCCTTTCCTCCGGCTGCAAAAGTTAAGATTTGCAAGAGGAAACGAGAGGAAAATGGGAGCCTCGGTGCTTTCCCCCCTCCACCACCCCAAAGTTAGAAATCGTGGATTATTTTTAAGGAAGAGAAATGGAGTGGAGAAGTGGAACAATGGGGTTGGAATAAAGCATCCGCATTGGGGAATATGGCTCATTCGGTACAGCCTCTGCTCCTCACCTTAAGAACTGATTTTATTTTTCCAAAAGGAAAGTGCTGAGCAGGAATGTGGACTGGCGGGTGTGTTGATTTGTGAGGGCTGCTTGCATTTTATTTTATTTTTTTTTCTGGCGGTGCAGTTTTCCTGCCCGCTTTTTTTTTTTTTTTTAATTTTTTTTTTTTGTCGCTCCGTTTTTTATTTTTTTTTCCCCTGTGTTACCGACCCTGTGAACTGCACGTTGGTAGTTTTGGGGCAGTTTGCATGGCAGATGTGTCGGTGGCCACTTGCGATGCCTTTGGGCGTGTGCCAGGGCTGTGGGCTGACATTACTTTACACCGTGACCGAGGCTCCCGGACGAGATGCCAGCGATCACCTGGGGTTGGGGGCAATGTGTTTCGGGTGGGTGTGTATTTTTTTTTCCCCTCCCTAGCTGCACCCAAACAATGGGTTGTAACCGGTTCTCCCCCACCACCTCCCCTTCCTCCCCCTCCCCTTCGCCCTCCATCTCCGCATCTCGTTCCCAGGTTGTAAAATCAAAGCTCTGCGGGCAAAGACCAACACCTACATCAAGACCCCGGTTCGCGGGGAGGAGCCGCTCTTTGTTGTGACGGGCAGAAAGGAAGATGTGGCCATGGCCCGCAGGGAGATCATCTCTGCGGCCGAGCACTTCTCCATGATCCGAGCCTCGCGGAACAAGAACACAGCCCTGAACGGCACCGTTCCCGGCCCCCCGAACCTGCCCGGCCAAACCACCATCCAGGTGCGGGTGCCTTATCGCGTGGTGGGCTTGGTCGTGGGGCCCAAGGGGGCGACCATCAAGCGCATCCAGCAGCAGACGCACACGTACATCGTGACCCCGAGCCGGGACAAGGAGCCGGTCTTTGAGGTGACAGGCATGCCAGAGAACGTGGACCGGGCCCGGGAGGAGATCGAGGCGCACATCGCTATGCGCACCGGCGGCATCATCGAGCTGACGGACGAGAACGACTTCCACGCCAACGGCACGGACGTGGGCTTCGAGCTGAACGGCACGGGCAGCCTCTGGAGCAAGCCCACGCCGCCCAGCATCACACCCACCCCGGGCCGCAAGCCCTTCTGCAACTACCGCAACGACAGCTCCAGCTCGCTGGGCAGCGCCTCCACCGACTCCTACTTCGGGGGCGGCACCGGGGGGGGCGGCAGCGCCCGCCTGGCCGACTACAGCCCCCCGAGCCCGGCGCTGAGCTTCTCGCACAACGGCAACAACAACAACAACAGCGCCAACGGCTACGTGTACGGCGGGGGCGGCGGCGACGTCCTCTCCTCCCCGGACTGCTGCTCCGAGCTGCCCTTCGACTCGCCGCCCGGCTTCGACCTGGCGCCCGCCCCGCCGCCCGGGGCCGCCCTCCTGTGGCCGCAGTTCGAGCGCGGCCCCGCCGCCCCGCCCCCGGCGCGGCTCTCCCCGCCCCTGCACGGCAGCGCGGCCGGCACCGAGCACCCGCTGGCGCGGCGGGTGCGCAGCGACCCCGGCGGGCGGCTGCTGGCCGCCTCCTACCCGCTGTACGCCAACGGGCTGGGCGCCCACCTGCCCGGGCTGCCCTCCGACTCGTCCGCCTCCTCCTCCTCCTCCTCCAGCTCCTCGTCCAGCTCCTCCTGCTCCTCCTCTGGCGTGCGGCGGAAGGGCAGCCGCGACTGCTCGGTGTGCTTCGAGAGCGAGGTGATCGCGGCGCTGGTGCCCTGCGGCCACAACCTCTTCTGCATGGAGTGCGCCAACCGCATCTGCGAGAAGACGGAGCCGCAGTGCCCCGTGTGCCACAGCGCCGTCACCCAGGCCATCCGCATCTTCTCCTGAGCGCCGCGGGCCGGGGGCACGAACCGGGGGGGCCGGCGGGGCCGGGGCCGCCGCCCGCCGAGGGGTGCGGGCTGCGGCCGAGGGAGGGCTGGGGGGTGGTGTGACAGCGGGTGCATGCTATAAATAATAACGGGCGACTCCATTCTAGTGCTAGGCTAGTTTTTACACTGTACTTTAATACGAAGCTTCCAAAACTCCCCTTTTTTTATAAACAAACAAACAAACAGAAAAAAAAAATTGAAAAAAAAATTTGAAAGTAGAAGATGCTTATGATGATGACAATGGTGTGTGGACTGTTAGTAAAACGTGCTGGTAGTTCTAGGATGCTTATTACAAAATAATTAAATCTATGGGTGGATACTTTTCTGAATGTTCATGAAAGGGCAAGAAGTTCCTGTGAAAAACCATGATACTGCAGCTTTATCAGACTTTTAAAAAGAAAAAAGAAAAAAAAAACCAACAAAACTGTAACATATCTCTTATATATATTAAAAACGTTTAAAGGTTTTAAAGATAAATTGCATTAATACAGATTGAAGTATTTTATTCTTTTTTGACTTGAAAAATTATATTTCATATTGCAAAGATGTTTACAAGTATTTTAATTTAAGTTCAGTGAACTTTTTGTAGCTGGGTTAAATCTTTTTTATTTTAGTATGGCCTTATGGCAAAGAACACTGTATTATTTTAATATCACACAATTGTGAACGGAATTACAAACCATAAAATGTGTAATGCTTTGAACAGTATTCTGTTGGGATGGAGATTTTATAGGTTCAGAAAAAAATCTTTTAAATCTGCTTCACCCAGCATATTTTCTATTCAGTGATATAAAGCATATTTTATTCTATATTATTACAAAAATGGAAATGTATAAACATATGTCAAAAGGAACTGTTGAAGCTTTCTAACATTTGTATAAATAGAATTCAGTGGAAATTACAAAAATTCTGTTGCACCACTATAGTTTTAGTATTTCTATTTTAATACATTTGTTTACCACTTGTTTATGTATATGTAGGTGACGTTACTTGAGCTTAAATGTACTTTACTGAGCAAAGTTTAAAAACAAAGTATATTTTATTTTATGATAAAGGGCCTTTAACCTCATGGTCAAATACTAATATTATATTTGCTGAGACAAGATTTGAAATTGTATCAAGAGTTTTATTTTTCTGACATTTAAAGTTCTACATAATAAAAGTAAAACTTAAGTAATGGTGCTACTTCATGTTTTTTTAAGTATTTCTATATAAATAAAATAAAATATTACAGAAAAAAAGGTACTCTCTGTGATGATTTGATTTCATGTGCTGAGAGTTTTTTCTGGAATTTTTGTTTCCTGCTTGTATCAGTGAAACATGTTGGGAGTTTAAACTGTGTCATGCTAATGTTGCTGGAACTCATGCAGGCTTCCAGAATAATCCTGCCAGCTATCATACTTTATAACATGTTTTTAATGAAAAAAAAAGAGGTGTTTTTTTTTTTAATATGTGTTATATTGCTGGGGTTTTCCACAGCACAAAGTACTATTTTTTTAATAATCTCTAGTCATGAAAAGTACTTGGGTTTGTGTGAATTGGCAGACAAAGCAGAGGCAGTAGCAAACTGAAAAGGAGCTGAAGGAGGGAGCAGGGGAGGCTCCTTTGTTGCCCTGTGCTGATGGAGGCGCCGGGTCTGCTGTACCCAGGGGCCTCAGGACCATCCCAAACTTGGCTCTTCTGGAGCAGAGCAAGGGCTGCAGTAACCCCCCTGAGTCCTTGACAGTGGATTTGGCAGTTGTGGCTGGGGTAGTTGGTGTTGATAAGCTTATTTGAATCAAACACTTATAGCCCTGTAAGGTTGGTTTGGCGTTGCTGGTGCCTGCAGTGGCGTTGGGGCGAGGGATGCTCGGCCAAGCCCAAGGACACAGCGGGCAGGGACTTGTGCTGCTCGGTGGAGTCCATGGGGATGAAGTGGCTGTTGGCTGATGCATGTTAGAGCAGATTGCAGAAGGTGCTGCACATGCCTAAATGTTTATCTTAGAGCTTCCATTGCCCTTTTCAGTGGGTGAGTGAAAGCAACAAAGGAAACGCAGAGTGCGTAGCATATTTCATATGCTTTACTTTGTGCTTAGCAGTGTATGGGCAGAGCTGCTCTGCTCCGATCTCCTTTATGGACTCCAGAGCTGCTGGTTGGGTGGGAAGGGGGAGGAGGGAGGATGCGGCAGGGGATGATGGGATCTCTTTGTTTGATTTGATTTGATTTTTGCTTCTTTCATTGAACTGTTGTTGTGGTATCGTCCAATTTATAGGGCTAAAATCCCTCACTGAGTGTTGCATCTATCTCAGGAATCTTGGAGGTTTGGATGGGGGGCAGAAAGCCCCCACCTCAAGGCTGTGGAAAAGAATCCAGAGAGTGGCAGAGAAGATGTGTTTAAATACATAAGCGGTACAGACACTGAAAAAACCCTTGGCAAGATCAGTTACTTTAGAGATCAGGAAGTTTAAGTTCATGTGTATATTTTCTTGATGATGGGTGTTTAGGAAATGCTCTCATGATGCGTCAATCAATTTCTCATGTCTGTGTAAATATCCTGTGCAGTTTTCAGGGAGAAGTTGTGAAAATGACTATAAATAAAAAAGTGAATTTGATCACTTTGTTTGGTTTCACAAAATGTGAAAACTAAAGTCTCCTTTTCTTCCCTGTGACGTACAATCCTGCTGTGCCCCCGGTGTTGGCAATGGTGTTATGGATGGCTGTGAGCAGCCTCTGCAGAACAGCCCCTGGCTCAGGAATGCCCTGGCCTGGACTGCCCAGCCTGTCAGTAAATCCAACTGGCCTCGTTGTCTATGGTCATCTTGCAGGACTTGCTGTTTCTTTACCAGGCTGTGGCAGAAACAAAGGCAATCCCCTCTTGGTCCATGGCTCTGGCTCCTTTTCAGCCTCTGCATGCTGTTCCAGCCCCTTTACATGCTCCATGTGCCTGTTGTCTTGAGATGGAAAGGTGGGCTGTAGTGCCTTAAAAACTAGTTGTGTTCACTCCTCTTTGGGAATTATTTTGCCTGCAGAGGGACCAGTCTGGATTACTCTTGCTTTGCCTTTTGCCCATCCTTCCAAACGTGACGCCCTGTGATGCTGGCAGAGCCAGGGGGCTCAGCAGCATTCACCCACCCGAGACACTGCCTGGAGCCTCCACTGCTGGCAGGGCTGGTGCATCCCCCTCTCTCTGTAGGAGAGTGTTTCAGGGTGTGCTGGCACACGTGGTGTCCATCCTGCCAGGTCTCATTGCTTGCTGGGCTGCCCTGGTGTGCCCTGAGCCAGATCTGCTGCCAGAGTGGGGTGTAAATCCCCATCCTCGGCCGGCAGAGACGAGTGCACGGGAGCAGGACCGGCATGGGGAGGAACGTGCAGGCTGCCCATGTGCTCTGCCCCGGATTTATGCCGTAGGTCAGTCCCTCAGACTGCAGGGGCCATAAATCAGTGCAGAATTTGTCCCAGGGTCGGGAGCCATATGGTGTGCAGGAGCAGGAGAGGAAGAGGGATGCCCACACCGAAGGAGAATAAAGGCCTGTGTTCGGGGCCAGAATATTTCAAAGCCTGAGAAAGGGGCAAAGTTCAGTTTCTAATTGAGTGCTTTGAAATATATAGATGTATATGGTCAATGTTTATCTTCCAGAACAAAGCTCGCTCTGTTTGTCCAGTGTTTGTGTGTCGGTGCTGGGAGCTGTTCCTGGGGGTGTCCAGCTCAGAGCTCCTGCTGCTCTGGGGCTGCTGGGGGTGTGGGTGCCCCTGGCACGTGCCAGCAGCCTGGCCCTGCTGGCCCAGCCCCTGTTTGGAGGCACTGGTGAGGACCTGCACGTTTGTGGGAGTTTCCTGGCTTTCCCAACATATTTGTATGGTTCCCAGTTCATGTACACATCATTATCTCAAACCAGGGTACATTTACATATGTAAGAATTGTTATGGACAAAGTCCTAAGTTTAATTATTCCTCTGTCCGTATCTTGTGCTTCACAGAATTTGCATAACAATCAGACATCAAAGCAGAACCCTTTACTGGAAGAAAGGTCTTTCCGCTATATTATTTTAATAAAATAAATTATAATGATCAATTAAACCTAAATTTACTCTTCAGATCTTTTTCCTGTGAATCCATTGAAATGAGAGTTAAAAGCAAACTTTAAATTTAGCAATATGAATCTAACACAGTAAGGTATTTAAATTGCTTTTTGTTTGATATTTCTCACTCCTCTCTGCCAACCCAGTCACCCGTATTTTTTCCTCCATTCTCCTTGTCTTGCCATTTTGGAAGTTGAAATGATGCTTGCTGTCACTGAAGTGAATGTGGATTCTGCCTCTGGAAGAGCACACAGGTGAGTATTGCTTTTAGTTGGTCTAGAAATAGCAAAAAGGAATTTTTCACCCTGCCTCTGCTTATTTGTGTTTCCTGTAACTCGAGTTATCTCTTGAGTAGAGATGATTTAATTAGAGAACAAAGACTATTTTAAATCTAAGGTAGGCAAGGGAGGCTTCAGTCTGTATAACCATTTGCATTTCTGGTTTACCTGTTTATGACAGTCTACCTGGCAGGTGCCGAAGGGCCCGAGTTTGCAGGTGAATATGTGCTCTGCCCAACGGTGAGTGATGTGGGCAGGCACTCCTAACTGCTGTGCTCTCCTGCTTCATACTCAGGAAACATACAGAGTTATATGTAAATGTAATCATCTATCCAATATGTACTTGTGTACACAACTGACTGCATAGAATCATCCAGAGGAATCATCAATTAGAAAGTCCTTCCCTTTTTAGTGCATTGGTGTTAACAGAAACTTGCTGTAATTATGGAAAAACTCGTATTGCAGTTTTATTACTTAATAGTAAGGCTTTTAATGAAGCATTCACAGTTGGATATATGAAATAATTATATCTCATCTAAGTTTTAACTTTGATTAAAAAGCAAAAAGCATATTTGGTATTAGAGAGATAGATTCTATCACAATGTGCTTCTCCTGTGATGAAGCTGTATCAAAACTATCCAGGCACTTGGTGTATGGATTATTCTTTAATGTTATCTGTGCACATAGAGCAGCTCTGGCTGTGCCCCAGGTATATGCATGCATACATGTACAATGCTGGGAGCACCACAGAGCCCCGATCTTTGAAGATTTGTGCAGTCTTGGGAAATAGCATCTATCATGAAAATCTGAATTTGTGGCCTTAAGGAATATCAGGTGGGGATGTGGCTACAGAAGCCATGAGTATCTGCCCTGGGTTGCATTTTTCTGAGTTTAGGGCTCCATGAAATAGTAGGATTCAGTTCCCCTCAGAAAGTAAACTGGCAAGTAAGGTTTGTTTGCATATATACACTTGTCCAGGGCACACAGGTAGTATTTCTCCTTAATGTAGGTTTCATGGTTCTTTTTCTTAGGGAATTTTTTTGCCCTGTCTTTTGTAACAACTCTCCACTGTTAAAATCATTATTGTTTAAGAAAATCAGTCAGTTATAAATAAAAGTTAAATACTTTTGTATTAAGTGCATCTTATACCTTTGCCATGACAAATGTGATTGATTAGCTGTCTTGAGAAATTTATAGCCTTTGATAAGATTGCACCAAGAGAAGTGCTCTGTTAGTTTCCAATGGAGAATGGAAAGAGATTTTTGATGTTCCTCATTACTGGTTTTCCACTTATGATGGAGATAAAATACAGTAAAGTGCTTTTTCCTCTTATGTACAAGGGCTCTTCTGCCTTTCATACCTGGTAGAATTGTGTGGTCCACTTTGTATTAGTATGAATGGCAATTGCCTTGTAAATGCGATGGCCATTAATGGGTGAATAGTCTGTCATCTCTTATTTTGTCCTTTGTCTTTATGTTTTATTCACTTTTACCCTCTACAAAAGAGCTTTAATTTAGACCTCAGACAACAGTTAGCAGTGCTCCAGTTCATTATAGATCTAGTGGCAGTTTTATTTCATTTTGATGTTCTTTACATTTTGATGGGTGTACAAAACAGTAGAAGCCATTTTAATCAAAAGAAAATTTCAATGAGAGCATGGCCTGTAAACAATGGTTTTGTAAGAGTCACAAAAGTTTCTGTTACACATTTGGAAATTATTTCCATGATTTAACTGCAAAGGGCAAGTAAATCACCTCCCTCTAAGAGTTAGAAAAAGGAGTGTTTTTCAAGATCTTTAGTTCTGTGAACTGACTCATTGTATCATCTTGGCTAATT